CCAGTTTTCTTTCGTGCCAGCATCTTTCATTTGTGTGCGTGTGGACTTGGGACATCGTGTGAGGCCGTAAGGCCGTCCGCCTTTCACGTGAACCGCCCCGCGGTGCGAATAAGCTCGCGACCCGCATCAGGAAGGATAATTTCTGGCTACATTGCCTGCGGTGGGCGGCGCTAGGGCCACCATCACATTCACCTCCTCGTGAGCTCCCCATCGATGTGCGGGTCGCTTTACCTCCATTGAAGACGAACGACGCAGCCATTCCACGCCGGCCGCGCTGGACCTGAGTTGCCGATGCAACAGGAGTTGGTCCATGCTTGTCCCTCCATCCCTTTTCTTTTGCTGCTCGCCTGCGCCGCCTGCCTCTATCCGACTGCGACTGCGCCAAGCCCCCTGACTACGCCGTGCACCAACTATCTCGCCCTCTGGCCATCACCGCCGCGCTCACCATTGCCCAGCGTCACGTGCACGACCACTCTCGTCCGCCCAACAGTCCATCCGTCTACCCGGCTGACGACACGTGCCGTCTCTCTCGTCCTTGCGGTGCGTCGTCGTTTGAACTTCGCGTCTCGTACGCAGACGGCCACTCCATTCGGGGCATCACTGCTGCACCCATCACTGCCGAGCGTCACGTGACCGACCACTCTCGTCCGCCCAACATACCCAAGACCCCATCTCTCGGCCCAGCTACCGACACGTGCCGACTATCTCGCCCTTCGGATGCGCCGTCGTTTGAACTCAGAGAGAGAGAGAGAGACTTGCATTGACCTCAACCATTGTCTGTGTATCCGAATCATCCATGAATCAGTCCGCCCAACAAATAAACGCAATCTAAGAGGAAGATGGATCCATCCTCGCCCAATCCTCACACCCCACTGCCCCATAAGACCTCCCTCCCCCACACATACAGAAGCTAGTGGCACGCGCATATGAAGGATGGATGAATGACGATGGAGTCTCTGGGTGGTTAGACACGGGCCTGGCTGTGGCTTGTTCGCAGCAGTCGAATTGCAGGGACACTTACTTTAGTTATTGTCTGCATGCTGGTGGGGTCTTCGTGCCCATGCGCTATGCGTTATTCTCTTCCTCACGTCGGTCGGCAGGTTGTTTAACGCGATCAATGTCCCTAATCTCCACATGGGAGAGGTCTACCATGCTATCGCACTGCATCATTGGTCCATCATGCAGGGCAGAGAAACCAAATGGAAAATTTCCGTCCCATCCCTCATGACCCATGCTTGCAAGAAAGCTAACAATCCATTCATCCAGACAGACATAAGGGAGCGCTCGAAGAGGCGTATATTTTGTACCCCATAAACGTACTGACTGTCAAGAGAGCAAGCCAATGTGGAAAGAAAAAGTAGATTAGGTACAAACATTAAAGGATGAAGAATGGGGAAAAGAGGAATTAAGAGCAAGCCATCATCCACGCAATACCTTGGCTGCTCGTAAAAAAGTAGCGATGGCATGGTGCATACGTATGTTGCGTGATGTCAATGCCGCTAGTGTCGGATCATCTTCTGTACAGTGCAGACAGGGCCTTTTCGCCTACCCAACCACATAACACGCATACATACAGAC